AGGAGAGGAAGGCCCTATATGAGGTGGATTGATTCAGTGACTGGGATAATTGGGATGGGAGTGTCAGAGACAGTGCGATTGGCACAGGACAGAGCAGCGTTTAGGTCTGTTGTACATAGGGTCACTATGAGTCGCAAGCGACTCGACGGCACATAACAACAACATATACTGCAGGATCTCATTAGTCTCCTGCAGTGTACCGTTTATCCTTGTCTTGGTAGGTTTTTTTCATCCCAGTGAAGAAAAAAATTTCTTTGCTGTTAGCATAGCTTCTTTATTTTGATGCTGCTTTTTTTGTTAAAACACAAAGCACACATTCCAGATTCTAGGTATTGTGCTATTCTTTGAAGGATTTCTTTCTGTTGAATTCTTTGGGCTAAAATAAGCAGATTTATAGTATTTCTGAGTGGCGTTAGTGTTACTCTACATGTAGCATTCTGAATGTCTATGTTGCGGAAGTGAGTATAGAAATATGCTGCAGGTTGTAGGGAATTTGCCTTAGTAGTGTCTATCAATGCTTCCTAAGTAAAGGTTTTTAAGTACAAGTTCAAAAGATTAGCCATATGATGAGATGAAAAAATAGAAATATCTTTTAGTTCATAATCCTTAAAATTAAACCAAGAGTAGAAAGTAGAGTATGCTTACTTTATAGGAATAGCTTAATTGTATTTGTTTCTTGCCTGATTTACATTTAACTTAAGGCATTTTTTTTAACTCCGTTAGACTCATAATGATAAATATTTATCTTTTTAAAGTTATGTAATCTTGTGTATTTTACTTGAAAATATCATTTTACTGTTTTAGTCACAAAACTGTACTTTGTGTTGTTTGCGGAGATGGGTTTTTTAAATGGAATTGTGCTCTCTTTAATAGGCACTGCTGAGGTGTCCTCTATTCTTGAAGAGCGAATTCTTGGAGCTGATACTTCTGTTGACCTTGAAGAGACTGGGCGTGTCTTGAGTATTGGTGATGGTATTGCCAGAGTACATGGGCTGAGGAATGTTCAAGCAGAGGAAATGGTAGAATTTTCTTCAGGCTTAAAGGTAAATTTTGAAAATGATGAGACTTTAAGTTATCTTGGATTATTGCGTTTTTTTCAGTTATTCTTTTAGTAATTCATAGGTGTGTCATATTTTAAACATTAAATCTTGATTTTCTTTAACTGTTGTCATAATTAGATATTATGGAAAGATTAAATATGTGTATTTTTGGTTATCCAAATTTACTACTCTTACAGACTGGTTTACACATAAATTATAACCACTTGCTCCAGAATGCAAAATTGAGTATAACTATCCAAATTCTAATAAGTACAGATCTATTTTTTAGATTTTAAGATTGTCTTGTATATAACCATCCGATAATTTTAGTTAATTTCTGCTGGAAAGTTGAAAGTTAGCAAAAGTAGGCATATTATTACTATTATTGAAAGACTTCATGATACAGTTATCATAAACTCAATGATTTTTTTTTTACTTTAAAACCCTATTTCTTTGCTTTCATGTTGAATTTAGTCTTCAGTGATTTGAGAAAAGTTGTAGAAACCATGGAATCTGTCAGAAAGACATGGATCTGGGTGGACTATCACCAAGTACACAGTTGGGGGAAAGGATAGTTCTGTCCATTTGCTAGTTACAATGTGAAAAAAACCAACCGAACCCAAACTTGATAGAGCAGCAGTTTGATGTGGAAGACTCATTGTAGAGGTTGAAGTTTTATCAGTCATTACCTGTAAGGCCCAGACCAAAACTTTGAACTTCTTTCATCTTCATTGTGTACTTTGAAAGGAGAAACTGAAATAGGTGAACTCCTTTTCTTTTAGAATTTGAGATCCAGAAGTCTAATCTCACGCTGTCCAGTAGAACTTTGTGCAGTGGTGGAAATGTTCAAATGGCCACATGTTAGAATTGTCCTACAATGAGTGGAACAGGCTAGGACTGGAGTTTCTGCACTTGACTGCTAAACTGTGATACTTCTGTTTGCTGTATTTAGCAGAACTTGGTGACTTGCCAAAGTCTATTCCTGTAATTTTTTCACCTTCTACTGACTTAATGAAGACAGGATTTGATTGGATAATTTTGTAGATGGTTTATGGAGCCTCTCACAGATAAATAGATGTAAATAAATTCTGTCTTTTCTCCTAACCCCCATTGGGGCTTATTTAGGGAGGTTACTAGTTAAGGTTCACATCTTAAGACAGCACCTTTCGTGTGCTTGCAGGCCATTTGACCTTCAGCCAGAGTCAGTGTTGTTAGGGAGCTCTGATGGCCTAGTGGCAAGAAATTGCAGAAATTGCGCTGTAATCCCAAATGAGCGCTGTTTGAATCCACCAGATGCTTCGCTGGAGATGAAGGAGCAGTCTCCTCCTGTACCATTCTAATCTAATTTGAGGGTACACAGAAAAAAGTCACACAGCTCTTTTAGTGTTGCCAGTTTATGGTATCTCCCTTTAGACACCAAGGTGAGCCTTCAGCTCTGACTCAGTGGGACAGCAGTCCCTTTAGCTCTGTCTCATGTCAGTGTCCATTTCTCTGCTGTTGCTCTGGTCACAGTCTGACCCTTGGAAAAATCTCTGGTCCAAATGGACTCGTGCTTAATTCTCAGATTCTTGCTAGTAGCCAGATTTCTTCCTATCTTGAAATTTCTATTTCATCTTGATCATTTTACTTCATGCACCAAATAAATGCATAATTGAGACCATTCAGTTACAAAGCTAGTCACAATAAAGGTTTGGGGGAGTGTGAGGGGAAGAGGCAGTATTTTTATACCACACAGTGTTTGCCCTCAGAGAAGGGTGCCACTCAACACTTCACTGATTTGTCTTGTGCAGGGTATGTCTCTGAACTTGGAACCTGACAATGTTGGTGTTGTCGTGTTTGGAAATGACAAACTAATTAAGGAAGGAGATATTGTGAAGAGGACAGGGGCCATTGTGGACGTCCCAGTTGGTGAGGAACTGCTGGGTCGTGTAGTGGATGCCCTTGGTAATGCCATTGATGGAAAGGTAGGTGTAGAGATACTTTGATGTGGTTGTAACTTTAGTAAGCATCCAAGCTCCCAGTCTGAGGAGTCCTTTCCCTTTTTCCCATGCCTTTTTTTCTTTTTTTTTATAAAAACAGGGTCCAATTGGTTCTAAGACTCGTAGGCGAGTTGGGTTGAAAGCCCCTGGAATCATTCCTCGAATCTCTGTACGTGAACCAATGCAAACTGGCATTAAGGCTGTGGATAGTTTGGTGCCAATTGGTCGTGGTCAGCGTGAGCTGATTATCGGTGACCGACAGACTGGGTAAGTATCAGTACCTTGTTACAAGTTCTAGCGAAGACTTTATGTATATGAAGATTGCTTTCAGGCTTGGAATTGTAAATACTTTGGATGTGATACGAAGTAAAATATGTTTTAAGGATTAAAACCAGTTGCCATTGGATCAGGAGGGAGCTCTAGAGGCCTAGGCCGAGAGCAGTGCACTGGTAACCAGCCAGAAGACCATGTGACAGGTGCTTTGAATCCACCAACAGCTCCGTAGGAGAAAGATGGGCCAGCTCCTTCCATTAAGATTTTCAGTTTCGGAAATCTGATGAAGGATTTCTTTGAGTAAGAACTCGATGACAGAGTTTGAGGATTTGAGCCATTAAGTCAGTTTGGCCTCATCCGTCAGAGTAGAACTGACTACTCCATAGTATGTACTACATACCTAGTGTGTAGTGTTTTCGTGATGCTCTTTTAGCTTGCCAGGGTTTTGTCCCAAGGTAGGTTTGAACCTACAAACTTTGGTTAACAATTAACTTTTCGTACAGTTAATCCCTTTGTGAGGAGTTAAGAACCAGCACGCTGGCCACTGAGTTGATTCCAACTCATAGCATTCCTGTACAACAGGCTAGAGTTGTCCCATAGGGTTTCTAAAGCTGTGAATCTTTCAGAACCAGACTGCCACATCATCTTCCTGTAGTCAGTGATAGATTTGAATGAACTACTCACCTTTTGGTTAGCTGTCAGGTACTTTAACCTTAACTACCAACAGGGCTTCTAGATCATCAGTAGTAGTAAAACCTTGACTGGGAACCATTTTGTGGTACATTACTACCTTTTGTGTTCACCATCTCCTTTTAAAGCAAAACCTCAATTGCTATTGACACAATCATCAATCAGAAACGCTTCAATGATGGGACTGATGAAAAGAAGAAGCTGTACTGTATCTATGTTGCTATTGGTCAGAAGCGGTCCACTGTTGCCCAGTTGGTGAAGAGACTCACAGATGCAGGTGATTCCCTTTACCATAGTCCTTAATTCTGTTGCTGCTAATCTTAGAATGGCTTCTGCTTAATGGAAGCTGATTGTAATTACTTCCTAATGAATGGAAGTGTCTATTAATACAAAGAAAAAAGTACAATAGTAAGGTTAGTGGGGGTCCCGTCCCCCCCAATTTCTTTAAAGTTAAAGCTTTGTGACTGGTTAATTCTTTACAGTAAAAAAGCTTTCTGGTATTTAGGTAATACTCGTTTTATCGTCCTCAAATTTAAAATCCGTGTTAATAACCTTGCCACATTTTAAACTTCTTTTCTCCTCAGACGCCATGAAGTATACCATTGTGGTTTCAGCCACTGCTTCCGATGCTGCCCCTTTGCAGTACCTGGCTCCTTATTCCGGTTGTTCTATGGGGGAATATTTCAGAGATAACGGCAAGCACGCACTGATCATCTATGACGACTTATCCAAACAGGTCAAAAGACTTGCATTTTCAGAATTTTGCTTGTGTATTTGCACTAAGTGGAAAGTGTGTAATAGATCACCTTCATGTCCCCTTCTGTGTCTAGGCTGTGGCTTACCGGCAGATGTCGCTGTTGCTCCGCCGACCCCCTGGTCGCGAAGCCTATCCTGGTGATGTGTTCTACCTGCACTCCCGTCTGCTGGAGAGAGCAGCCAAGATGAACGATTCTTTCGGTGGTGGCTCCTTGACTGCTTTACCGGTCATTGAAACACAGGCTGGTGATGTGTCTGCTTATATTCCAACAAATGTCATCTCTATTACTGATGGACAGGTATTACTCTAATCATGAAATGTGAAAAAGAGCTCCTTTTTTGCTTTTATTTGTTTTTGGTGAAAGTTTACATCACAAATTTTTGTTGTTTTGTACTGCTGAGTCAGAACCAACTCAACAGCTAACTAATTCTCCACTAGATTTTCAGAGGCTGTAAATCATACAGGCAGAGATTGTCCTGTGACATCACAAATTAGTTTTCCCAGTTAACAATTTTGAACATAATTGTTTAGTGACATTACATTTTCCACAGTGTGTCAACATTCTTCCATTTTGGATATTCAGTTTCCATGAATATGATTTCCGTGTGCATCCCTCCTTAGCCTTTCATCTTTGATCTAGAGTAATTTTTGACCGTACAGTCTTATTCTGGCACGTTATAGAAAAGGAAAATAATAGAGGTAAAAGAGTAGGAGAATCAGATAGCTGGCAGGTCAGCTGAACCCGAAACTCCTCCCATAATTGACTTTTAAAAATAGTGTAATGATGGACAAGGTCCAATGGTGATTAATTTTATAAAACAGTAAAAAAGTAATAGTGGCACAAAATTCATATGTCCTGTTTACTTAATGCTCTATTAGGTTAGCAGAAAGTGGTTTCAGTTCAAAGACTATCAGGCTGAGAGTCTAGTCTCCACTGACCCAATGAGTCTGCTTTTCCCTCACCCAATCTAGCCACATCCATGTGCTGTGTCCTTGATTGGAATATTCACTGGTGCTTCTTTCTCTTCCGGAGACGCTGTGTAGAGGCATTCAAAATGGTCCAGCGTCTGACCTACCGTCGTAGGCTGTCCTACAACACAGCCTCTAACAAAACTAGGCTGTCCCGAACCCCTGGTAACAGAATTGTTTACCTTTATACCAAGAAGGTTTGAAAGGCACCAAAATCTGCATGTGGTGTGTGCCTGGGCCGACTAAGAGGGGTCCGAGCTGGGAGACCTGAAGTCCTCATGAGGTTGTCAAAAACAAAAAAGCATGTCAGCAGAGCTTATGGTGGTTCCATGTATGCTAAGTGTGTCCGTGACAGCGTCAAGCGTGCTTTCCTTATTGAGGAGCAGAAAATTGTTGTAAAAGTACTGAAGGCACAAGCACAAAGTCAGAAAGCTAAATAAAAAATGGTGCATGTTTAATAAATTGATAAATTTGTTCTATTAAAAAAAAAAAGGTCACCCACCTTTGGCTTGGTAGCGTTGCTTTCTGTCCACTGGGCCAGCTGATATCTCTCTCTCTGTGTTGATGTTATTGTTGTTAAGTGCTGTCAATAAATTTTAGACCACAAAAATCAGTAAAATAATAAATTTCTTCCTATTTGAGTAGTTGATTGAGTGTATATCTTATTAAGAGTTGTGTTAACAGCTTTTCTTTACATACATGTGAATAGTATCCTATCACACACAAAATTGTACCTTAAGATACATCTTGGAAATTTTTAAATTTTTTTTTTTAACTATGAACATACACCATTCTTCCTCAGTTGTTCATTCTCACCATAGTATATCATATGAGTGCCTGATTCAAAGTGGCCCATGACAGTTCATTTCATCTCATTAATGCCTGGAATATCCATCTTCATGTGTTCCACTTCATTTTTTCTACATTCGTGTGCCATGTTATAATTATTAGTGATTGTCTGCAGCTGTTTCTCCTCATTTTTAGTAACTTTCTATCTGGGAAGTGATTACCAGAATATTGCTATAGCTACTTGCGTTTCTCTATTGTTCACAGTGTTTTCAAAGGCCTGGTTTTTTGGAAGTGGATGGTCAATCCTGCTTCTGAGTCTGTCTTAATCTAGGAATTCTGCTTCAACCTGTCTACCATGGGTGACTCTTCTGGCATTTGAAGCATTAGTGCACTATCTTCTGCATCACAGCAAATCACAAGTTACAGCAGTGCAGTAGACTGACAGACAAGTGGCATAGTATACAATAAACAAGCATACACACCTAGCTATAAAGTAATTGTTGCTGTTGCTTGCCATTGAGTCAGAACTGACCCATAGCTGATTCTCCAGCAGGTTTTCAGAGGCAGTACATGGCAAAATAAGAGATTCCCCATTCTTCTCCCATAAAGCAGCTGGTAGATTCAAACCACGTGCCTTTAGGATTGCAGTGCAACTTACTACTAGGCTGTCAGAACATGAAAATCAATCCCCAATATAATGAACTGACTGATAGGTGCTGTACTTCTAATAGCAAACCATAACAACAATCAAGCATATAAATGTTATGGTTCAGGACACCTTTTTTTTTGGGGGGGGCCCTAGCTGCAGCCTATAGTGGCACAGTAGGATGGGGTCCTAGGTGGAACATTTGCCATGAACAGTGGCTCAGAGTGATCTTTGATTCTGGAGCTTGAAAATTTTGGACTGCCAAAAGGCAAGACAAGTATGTTTTGGAGAAAGCACAGCCAGAATGTTCCTTAGAGGAAAGGATGACAAAGCTTCACTTCACGTACTTTGGGCATGTTGCTAGGAAATACTATTCCTTGAAGAGGGATATCATGGTTGGAAATGTGGAGTTTCTGCAAAAGAGAAGACATCCAATGAAATGGGTTGACACAGTAAGAGCAGAAATGGGATAAGGATGTTAGAGGTGGTGAGGATGGTAGAGGATAGGACAGGGTTCAAGTTTGTTGTTCATGGGTCGCTAGGAGTCATACATGACTCCAAAGCACCTAACAACAACAACAACAACAACAACAACAACAGTAACTTTCTGATCTATTTTTTGATATCTTTTGTCTTCTATAGTCCTTTCCCCTCATCAGCTTTAGTATATAAGTAGAAACTCAGCAGAACAAGTTTACTGTGATCAGCATAATAGTAATAAAACGTTCTCAGCACATTGAAGGGAGCTCTGCTGGCCTTTAGGAGCTACCTGTGCTGCCAACCCAAAAGCATACAGTGCGAATCCACCAGTTTTTGGTTTTGTTTTTTTTTACATATATGTGGAAATGGTTTTAATATGTTAAAATATTCTTTAATGAGGTTAGTTTTTTCACAGAAGACAATGGACAGGCTCCTCCTGTGTGATTTACTGCCTCTGAAAACCCACTCGAGGGGCAGCTGTGAGTTGGGTCTGACCCAACGGCACATAGCAACAACCATAAATTTTTAAAGCCCAGTTCCTCTTTTGAACCTTTAAGTTATATCTAAGTTTCAGTTGTTATGAAGAAAGCCAGAATGAACCTTTGTTATAATCTTCAGATTTTTTTGCATGTGTTTCTTAAATGTAAATTCCCAGGGGGGAAAATCCTAGGTACATTTTAAAGGATTTTCATATATATTCCAAATTGTCCTCCTCAGAGATTAAAGTAGTGCCCAAGGTCACCAGCAACTTATGGTGCAGGGCAACCATTATTTTACATGCCATCAAAACTGGCTGTACACAGCCCTGACAATGTAGGACATGAAACCTAGGTGCCTCACTTCATTTTATCATTCTCTTCTTCACTTGTTCCTTCTTATCATACAAAAGGAAATCAGTTTCTCAGTTATATATATGCTTCTTTCTTCTCCCAGAAGACTAGTATTTTATTCTTTTGACTTTTTTATTTCAGGATTATTATCCCAACATGTTCCTTCTCATGATGTTAAGTGTAGATAAGGGTTTAAAAGCTTTCGTTCTTCTTCAAGTGTGTTTGAAATATTATTTCTGAAGCTGAAAAGGAATCAGATGGCACTGTTCACATACACACAGACTTTGTAATTTCTGTAACATTTGCTATGGTGACACTCGAGGAAATAGAAGGTGTAGAGTCACAGCTTTAAACATTCAGACTCGTGGATGACAACCCCCTGGAAGTTTGCATATGGTTCTGTGGTGTAAGCTATCAGAGCTTATTTGACTGCTACATCTGGATACACCGAGTCTCTCTTCAAACAACCACAGGGCCCATTTCATTGCTATTATTAATCTGTCTCTGCTGCCAGATTCATAGCTTCAGAGTAAGAAAATATTATCTGAGCAAATATTTAAGCAGAATTCTCTACACTGTTATGCTTCATTAAAGAACAGTTTTCATTTAGTTTGTTCTGAAGGAAAATGAAATGCTCCAAATAAATATACTCTGTGGTTTTTCTACAGCATTTTTTTCGCTTCTCTCACAGTAGGAAAACAGAGGTGTTTCTAAGAAGAAGGGCTTTGTGTGGCAATGCATGCTCTCTCATTCACGCCCTTCTGCCAGAATTGGGTCTGTGACTGGAAAGCATTATGACTAAAAGGGATAAAATAACAGAATCGTTTCTGTGTTTGACTTGTGTCAAGTGAATAAATGTACATGAGCATTTGGGTGGACTGGAAAATAGGAAAATACCCATCTAAAACCAAAACCAAGCTGGTTACCATTGGGTTGATTTTTATTTCTGGTGGCCTTATGTGTTACACAGTAGAACAGTTCCACAGAGTTTTGTTGACTGAGACCTTGATGGTAGCAGATCCCAAGCCTTTCTTCTGCAGTGCTACTGGATGAGTTAGAACCACTGACCTTTTAGGTTAGTTGTCTCGAATCATTGTGGTTGAGTTGGGACGGACTTATCGGTGACCCTCCAGTGGGATATCAGGGGCTGTACATTGCACAAGAGAAGATTGCCCATCTGTCTCAGTACATTCGAACTTCCAGAGAGGTGCAGCCTTTGAGTTAGCAGGAGACCTTCCTACAGACTGTGTCACCAGAGCTCCTTTACTTCAGTTGTTGATGTTGTTCACTGAAGGCAGAAATTACTTATGGCTGACCTTCCAGTGGGGTTTCAGAGGCTATAAATTGCATGGGAGGAGATTGTCCATCTTTCTCTAATGGAGCAGCTGGTGGTTTGAAGTACCTATCTTTAGGGGCAACTTGTTACCACTAGGCAATTGGGTTGTTGTTGCTTTTGTTAGGTGCCATCAAATGGAGTGAGACTCACAGTGACCCTATGAACAACAGATCTGAGCTCTCATCTATTCTGTGCCATCTTCATAATCTCTGACTCTCTTGAGCCTATCTGACAGCCAATGTGTCAATCATCTCATGGAA